GCTCTAGAGGAGATCTGCATGGAGGAATGGGCCAAAATACCAGCAACAGTGTGTGAAAAGCTTGTGAAGACTTACGGAAAATGTTTGACCTGTGTGATTGCCAACAAAGGGTATATAACAAAGTATTGAGAAACTTTTGTTATTGACCAAATACTTATTTTCCACCATAATTTGCTAATAAATTCATAAAAAATCCTACAATGTGATTTTCTGCATTTCTTTTCTCATATTGTCTGTCATAGTTGACGTGTACCTATGATGAAAATTACAGGCCTCTCTCATCTTTTTAAGTGGGAGAACTTGCACAATTGGTGGCTAACTAAATACTTTTTTTCCCCCACTGTACCGTATATCTACGTCCAAAATGGCACCCTATTCCATTTAGGGCTCTAGTCAAAAGTAGCCATTTGGGACGCAGTGGGTTACAGGATATGACTAAGGGCAGAATTTGAGTCACATAAGGAGTAATTGGCATACAGGCTATATCATTAGAATATGTGATATATAGCAGAAATATGATTGAATCTGAGCTGAGTAGAACAAGTTGACCTTCCACGGGCTAATCAACTTCTTTCGATGTCTTAGGGAAAATAACCTGGATAGTTATTTCTGTGTTCTCTCAAATTACTGTACTATCATTCCTCTCCTGAACTCACACTTTCCAGAAACGTGATTCACCATAAATAGGCTATTCTGCTATTTATTGAGAGATGGCTGTGTGTGTCTGCCCTCTGCTGGAATAGAACTAACACTTCTTCTAAACCCATTTCCAGAAATACACTCTACTTCATGTGTTATTGTGCCATCTAGTGTTGGGTTGGTTGCATGTTGTGTTCAAACCCTGGCAGGGATTATTTGAATGTGTGTCATGCAGCAGCAATAGAGTAAATGACACTATTCATCATCTGACTCTGCCAGTATGCTTGTAGAAATGGCATGAATATATTTATGCTCTGCGTATGTGGAATGATAGTAGCACAGAAAAATATAGATACATACAGATACTTGTAAAAAATGTATACATTTGTGCACTCAATGACAGACATACAAACAGGCAGACACGAACAACATACACACAAAGCAGGTTTCTCATTTGACATAGTTGGGGCTGCACTTACTTCGTCTGCTGACATTTTAACAGTGACAGTTTGCTGTCATTCTCTCACCCTGCGCTGAAATGCATTAGTTTATTCTCATAAATATGTCTGACTACTCTAGGGGGCTGTGCCCTCAATGGAGTTGCCATTGAACCCAGTCCTCTGGGCCCACCAGTCGTTTCGCATTATGTATTCTATCTCCAGCACACCTACAACGAATAAACTCATCAGCATGCCCCTGTTCATTTGAATCAGGTGTGCTGGTGTTGGAATACATCAAATATGTAAAAGGACTCGTCCCAAGGACTGGGTTGGCAAGGGCTGCCACAGACTGTCTGAACACAATAGCTGTGTCTGAAATGGCACCCTATTCACCATATAGTGCAATAGCTAGCCCTATGGGCCCTGGTCAAAAATAGTGCACTATAGGGGAATAGGATGCAATTTCGGACACACCCAATGTCCCCAATACAGAGGAGCTTTACCTGTGTGTACAGTCAGCTATGGGTGAGATCTAACAACTGTACAGTCATACGAACACCCAATAGTAGGTGTGAATTCACCAGTGTTGGAGTATGTGAGCAGAGAAAGTGATAGGGTGTAGATTGGAAAGGGAAAGGATAGAGATATTCCTACAAAGCTATCACTGAAATGAGTAGGAGGGAATAAAATGAAACTAACAGTCAAAGGGACAACAATGGGAGAAATAATTGAAAGAAGGAAATAGGAGAGGGGATTGATAAGAAAAATATATAATGGAATGGAAAAGGAAAATCCTAGTGTAGTCTCTGAGGGAGAATAAATAGGACAGAATGATAAGATAGGGTATTGTAAAACCAAAGAGAATTGATTAAAAAGAGAGATAGCTAAGCGAGAGATATAGTAATAGAGTTGTACTTTTATGAAGTAAGGAGAAAGGCAGCATTTATGAGGGACACATTACACAGAAGACAGTGGCACAATCAGTAGAATAGTGATATAGTCGTAAAAATGCATATAAACCACTTACTGAGGTTACAGTCTATCCTGATACAATCTGGCGGGAGAGAGAGTGAGATGGTGAGATCAAATCAAATAAAGAGAGAGGAGAGAGAAGAAAAGAGAGAGAGAGATAATAACATTTTACATCCTTCAAGGTACATTCTGCAGACAACCAGGCATTTTGCTAGGGGCCACCATCCGGGGACAGAGCTACGAGTCAGGATCACCCTTTTCCTTTCCACACCTCCGTCATCATCCCCCCATCATCCACCCCTCCCTCCATCCACCCTTCAAAACCCACCCAGTCCCAATGCGCTACAGAAGGCAAGCTATTCACTCAATCATTGGTACAATGAAGCTCTATAACACTGTAGGCCTACTTGGTGGCACTCCATGGCAAGGGAACAAAGCCCATTCAATAAGCTGAGGATGATAAATGTACATTATAGATTGATCAGATTCTTGATATCTTGTGCTAGATAGACAAAGAATACATAAGCAACACGTACATCAAGGTCATAAATTCTACATGTATGACATCATGTGTGCGATTGAACGTAGAAACAATGGATATAGCTCACAGATAAGTCGTCTTTGATCGAAATGCATTGTGTTAGTAGATTTGGAGAGACAGATAGTCATCCACCAGATCAGACACGGACATGTTAGTCCAAGTGAGAGTCATTGATTATTAAGTGTATTCATTATTCCTATTCCCTATAGTGGCTTTTATCAGAAATGGGTTAACCGAGTGCAAACAATGGCTTCCTGGCTATGTGATTGTGGGTTAGAAACAGCTTGCCTTTTGTAGCCCCTTGGGTATGGAAACCAACAGCCGCAATATTAGGAAAGGGTGATCTGCACACTCCAGCCACAATAAGCCAAGTGCACACACCTATATCAGGATATGCTATAATATTCTAGATATGCTAGAATATGCTATACAAACATTAACTCAGCTTTATTCTACACAGGTTTCTCTGAAATGCATGTCTTCTGATAGCACATTGTAAAATGGTGGAGCTCTATTATAGAGTTAGTATTCTCTTCTGCCCTCTGGTGGCGACAGGCTGCGTGTGCATGTGGCTGTGGCTGAGGTGTGGTCTCGAGCCGTCAACCGCTACAGAATAGTGGACTCAAACAGCCATGGACCAGGCTCACTGTTATTGGGATTCTGTGGCTGATACTATACTTAAAAGCTAATGTTTCATTCCTCAATGACAAAATAACCTAATGAAAAATAAGATTGTCCACAGCTTGTGTGAGTGCGGTCAATGTGATTGTGATTGAGTTTGAACTAAAGAACAACATGTATTACTATTTACACATGTGTCTAGGTCACAGACTGCAGAATGATCAATTAAACCAAATAATTGTATATTGATCATCTGATCATGCAGTGTCCCTGTACACTGTTTCATATTGATCAGTTAACTAATCTTTAATTATTTTAGGGGAAATGGTAAGCAGTCCTCCTCTGGTTCTAAAACGATTCCACCTCCAACTGAGACAAAATTAATTTCCTCTAAACTAGCTATGAATATAAATGTTGATGTGGATATGACACCTCTGGGTACGGTGTGATTTGGAGACGTTTGGGAGCGAGCTAAGCAGAAATTAAGAAGAGGAACTAGGGAAGGGTGTTCGGTAAACTATTATCTGGCTCATTTGGACACATTAGCGCTATGGATTAGCATTTATCCTCATTAGCTAAGATAAACGATGTGTTTAGCGGGGGCTGATTGTTCTGGGCCAAGGTGGACCTGGGTCTGTGTGTGGGTCCTTTGGCGCAGGGCTGAGCAGCATGGCAAAGGCAGAGTCAGCGACATCACAGGATGTGTGTGTGTGTTGTGTGTGTGTTGTGTGTGTGTGTGTGTGTGTGTGTGTGTGTGTGTGTAGCTGTGGGACAACCCTGGGCTGTGAGCCGGTCTCTCTGACTGTTTGATCCGAGGGCCGCAGACATACAGGCCATTGAAGGGATGAAAAGTTCCATCTTCTGAGCCTTGGCCAGGTGAGAGATGAGAGATGAAAGATGAGAGAGAGAGAGAGAGAGAGAGGAGAGAGAGAGGAGAGAGAGAGAGAGAGAGAGAGAGAGAGAGAGAGAGAGAGAGAGAGAGAGAACAAAGAGAGTGAGAGAAACTTTGACTGTGATAGAGAAATGGAGAAAGTCAGAGAGAGAGGGGAAGTAAAGAGTGTTAGAGAGAGAGAGAGAGAGAGAGAGAGAGAGAGAGAGAGAGAGAGAGAGAGAAGAGAGAGAGAGAGAGAGAACAAAGAGAGTGAGAGAAACTTTGACTGTGATAGAGAAATGGAGAAAGAGTCAGAGAGAGAGGGGAAGTAAAGAGTGTTAGAGAGAGAGAGAGAGAGAGAGAGAGAGAGAGAGAGAGAGAGATGAATGGAATGGATACGGTGTGGCATTATTGGAGGAACAATCCTCTCCTCTACCACCTCATGTCTCTAAGTCGGTGGCCCACACTCCTGTATCCCAGGATGCACCTGGGCCTTGTTTTTCCCCCACTCCTGCTTTGAGCGCTCTCCCTTCAAGAGATGGAGCGTAAAGCAGCGGGCACCGTTATCAGTGCCATAGGTCACAACAATCTGCCAGGAGTCCAAACTATAGACAAAGGCTTAGTGCTGTGGGTAATATGTTTCTGTATCACTGCCTTCCAGTCTCTTTATTTTTTGTACTCATCTAGAACAATGTCAGAGTAGTATATGGACCGTTATAGCTTTACCATTCTCTATAGTACCCCCTACTGGAGGAGTGTGTGAACAACTAAACCCCTTTATCTTCAGGCTAGTGGTCTCTCCGCAGGGACCACGGGAGAAACAGAACCAGGGGTAAGCAGAGGGGGTACAGGAGTAGATCTACCCAGGGAGGCAGAGACTGGAGACAGGCTTGCAGTAACAGACAAAGGCTCAGGTTTAGGGGGTGGAGATGGAGCTTGACAGAAGGGGCACGAGAATGGGGTTGCCAAGGTCATGGTGGGGTTGCCATGGGTTACCTAGGTTGACGGTCAGCTTGACCCTGCCACCATCCAGCTCTAGCCGCAAGGTGTCGGCGGACTCTTTGGAGGTGGTGGCCATGAGGAGGCCGAAGGCCCGTTGGGACATGAACCTTAGCACCACGTCCTCTGCCTCAGTGTGCATGGTGCCTGGGATGATGATCTTCAGGTACATGCTGCCGTCGTAGCTCAGCACCGTCGCCTCTGTAAGGGGGTGGAGGTATGGGAAAAAATGCAGAAGCAGACACACATTAAGATACAGACAGACAGACGCACACACATACATGAACAAGAGAATCAGAGAATAGAGATCAGTATACAGTATTAGATTAACCAATACACATTGACACCCAGTGCGGAAAGGACATCCAAGGTTAGCAACGTGTCTTTACTAGAAACTAGTGAAACCAACTCTAACACAAACAATAGCAGATATATTTTAGATGCATTAACATCATCATAGACATGTTCAGAAAAAACAATGAATGCACCCCCTGAGGCTGACTAGATAACTTCTGAAGAGTTGCCTAAGGAGGGCAGTGTATGTGGGTCAACACATGTCGCCATGGGCTCGGCTGATTCACCATGACTGCGTACTTGCCTTTTATTTTAGATGCATATGGTTGGGAGCACAAACCAAATACTGTATGCTGCTACTGGTTAGGCCACTGAAATCCACTGTAACACATAGCATATCGCTTTTTGGCAAACAACTACTTTCTGTTAAATGAAATAGCAGAAGGTTAGTTTATTGAAGACCAAGTCCCACACTACTCACACACAAATATTGGTCAAACTTGTGGCAGCCAAGCATAACTCTCTTTCACGCCCTTGCAGTATTAGATAGCCACACTAGATGGCAGGGAAGCACCATGAAAAACACAGCTGGCCCATTTGAGAAACAAAAACATAGAACTAAACTAGTACCGAATGACTGCTCTTTCGAAATAAAGACATAAATACTTCAGGTTAGTTTCCAATCTCACTGGATTATTGAAGACCAAGTCCCACACTACTCGTACACAAATATTGCATTAGGCCACACTGGTCAGAGCGTTGGGCCAGTAAACGACAGGTCGCTGGTTCGAATCCCCGAGCTGACTAGGTGAACAAATCTGTCGATGTGCCCTTGAGCAAGGCACTTAACCCTAATTGCTCCGGTAAATCGCTCTGGATAAGAATGACTATGTGACTTGTGACAACCAAGCATAACTCGCTTTCACGCCCTTGCAGTATTAAATTGCCACACTAGATGGCAGGGAAGCACCACGAAAAACATAGCCGGCCCATTTTAAGAACAAAAATATTACACTAAACTGTCTTTCACTTCGTAAACTGTCCATTACACGTAAATCCTTCACTTCCTCCACTGCCTTAATTTCAATCCAGACTCTCTATTGTGTCGTTAGCTTTGATAGGCCTACAACACAACATCCCTAAATTGTGTATTAATTTCACCTCAAAGGAGATGTTACCACTTTCCTTTGATGCTATGACACAACAAACAGCCTACAGCGAATTATAATGGATTAGACACACGTAGCCGCTAGCAGGTTGCATCACCCCCAGACAGACAGACAGACAGACAGAGAGAGCAGCCTTGCACCACCTGGATGTGTGTGACAAGCCCAGATGGTGACAGTAAGCATCGTCGCTCAACCGAGCTCCCCAAGCCTCACCCAACCTCCCAGCAGTTCAGTCAGCTAGCTTCCCTTCCCTGCCAAGCCAACGCAGGCTCCTTCAAATGTCCTTTTACCACACTGCAGCTGGTTGATGCTTTAGAGTAGCACAGGGGTAAGTTAATATGGTCTTATTGTCTAAGCCTATTATGATTAGGTTTAACTTGCTGGCTATAATAACACTTGTAAGCATGAAACCAAATCTAACTTAATCTCCACCGCCTGCCACCAAATGTCCCCATCGTGTTTTGTCACCACCTGTTCCCCACTCCTCCCCTTCCCCAGTCTCCCTGTTTCTCCTCACCGATTTCACAGTTGCTGCCCAGGTAGCCGGTGCCGGTGCAGTCGCATATGTAGCGGTTCCATCCCTCTTTACACAGGCCTCCGTTCCCACAGGGGGTGCTGCTACACCTTTTCTGAAGCTCGCGGGTGCAGAAGCTGCTAACGCCCGGGCAGCTCTGGATCTCGGCCAGGCGGCGCACGTCGCGGCTCTTGCCGTCGATGAAGAGGTCGCGGACGCAGCCCACGTAGCCGTAGTTGAGCAGGGCGGTCCAGACCTCGGGGGGCAGCACCAGGTCAGAGCGGGCCTCGGGGAGACCCCCCAGGAACATGTCGCTGTCCAGGTCCAGGATCTCACTGCCCTCGTTGGAGTTGAAGGGGATACTGCGGCTGTTCACCGAGATGGAGCCTGGGATAAAGAGGAGGAGAGAGGTGAGATGAGGGGTATATGCATCATGTCAAGTGTGTACAGTGCTCAATTGAATGTCACTGAGAAAACAGTAAGGTGCCAAAATGTTTTTCTTTCCAGCAAACATCCTTTCAGAAATTAAAAGTAATCCAAGAAGTAATCATCAAGTTTTTCAAAACGTCACCAATTACAGTTACAGTTTTCTTTTGTAGTCAGATTCCATGCAACTGATAACATGTATTCAGTTACTCCCCAACCTTGAGTGTGTACTGTATGTGTGTGTCACAGGAGGCTGCTGAGGGGAGGACGGCTCATAATAATGGCTGGAATGGAGTGAATGGAATGGTATCATGTGTTTGATGTGTTCGATACCATTGATTCCGTTCCAAACATTACTATGAGCCGTCCTCCCCAATTAAGGTGCCAGCGGCCACCTGTGGTGTGTGTAAATGTAGCTGAAGCATTAGGCAAGATAATGTGTGTTAGTAAGGCTGTTTACATGTTGGTACTCTTCTGTTTGCGTGCAAGTGTGATTGAGTGCATGGGATTTTGTGTGTGTGTGACCGTGGTTGAGTGTATGTTGAATGAGAGTGCTTTTGTATGTTCTTGTGTGTTTGTGTTGTGGCTATAGTCGGTTGAGTGGAGGGGAAACAACCCAGAAAAATGCAGCGTGGATGAGAGTGGATGAGACCTGGGTTCTTCTTGTGGCACCCGGCTATGATTTACGACTCACTCTTAATTGTCTATTAAAAAGCAATTACAGGAGGGGCAGGAGTGTGATCAGAGAGACTCCCTATAGTAACACGGCATGCACACACGCACAACACACACACAAAAACATAAGTGCCTATGTGAAAGCATGCATGCATCATGCACACCCCTCAGGGGATGGTACGAGAAGAGATGGATATGACAGGACTGAGAGAGAGGTGGGAGGAGGGGGTGGAGAGGTGTGTAGGAGAATGCTTTTAGACAGGGCTGAAACACAGGAAGATCATCCAAATATTCATAGCCTGTACACGTGTTCTCTATAAAATAAAGTACTTCAGAAGCACAGGAGGCCAGTGCCACCTTAATTGGGGAGGACGGGCTCATAGTAATGGCTGGAACAGAATTAATGGAATGGTCTCAAATACATCAAACATGGTTTCTATGTGTTTGATACCATTCCATTCACTCCATTCCAGCCAATATTATGAGCCGTTCTCCCCTCAGCACCTCCTGTGTAGAATATACACAGCTGTATATATGCAATAGTTTACAAGTGTGTACATTGGACTTCATCAGAACCATAACATTAGGAAGGTATTGTTACACAGCTCCATGTTCATATCCTCACCTTTCCTTCCTTCCCTCTGGAAGTCCACATGGCACCACTCCCCGTCGTTCACCTTCTTATTACTCGTCTTCAACTTGATACTCCCCGACCCCATGTCCATGAGCAGGTAGAGAAACCCATCCATCAGCTCCATAGCAAAGTAGTCTGACTTCATGTCTCGACCCGGCTTCTGCTCTTTAGGACCCTGGGGGCGACCGTGGCTGAACAGCAGCAGGCCGCTGGGTTCTGTGGTGCGGAAGTCGAAGGAGATAGAGCCTGTTTTCTTGGTGTTCCACTTGGGCAGGGCGATGAAGGACTCGGGGGACTCGAAGGTGACGGGGTCCAGGGCGGCCACGTCCTCGCAGCGGAAGACAAGATCTCCGTTCAGGCTGATCTTAGGGTCCCGCTCGATGGCTAGCCGGGAGAGTTCTAGCTTGAAGTCGTTATTCTTGTACACCACCTACAGGGAAAGGGGGAAGGCGATAGAGACATTTTGGGTTTTAGTATGGTCAGCTAATGTTTAGGTTAATGTTCACATTATGTATGCTATGTTAGCAATCATAGACACAACATGAATTTGGGAAAGACAAAAATGATGCATACAAAGGCTAACTGCCTACTTTTATATTGATAGGTTTTGACATTGACACATGCGTCAGGGACTTTCAATGTGAATAAAATTAATGTAAGACAAACTACTCTTTGAATACCGATACCGTCTAGCCTTCTTTGGATTTCTCGGAAAGACAATGTATTCATACAGTTTACACTGCCTTACTATTCAAAACTCCCTTCACATTGAATTTAGCATCTCAAGATCCATTATGCTACAGAGTCACTGTCATTTTCAAATGACTAACCATAGACTTTAAAAGAAGTGCAGCGTTTGTTTGTGTGAATGTGTGATTCATAGTTTAGCAAACTCAATTATTCACAACAGCATTCTTGGAGATATCAAGACGCAGGATGAAAGGAATAAATTAACAGTAGATGTCTACAGACATTAAGCTAAAAGTCTGCATTCTCGTGTGTGCATTCATGATATAGTCGGTGCTAAAACTCTGGATAGTTTCTTAAGCTGTCTTCAGGTGTGTTTCTTTCCTGCAGTTTTTTCTGACAGGTCCATACACTATCCTGATGGCTGTCATCGGAGGAATGGTGTTAGCCGCCCTGGAAAGGTGGCACACTGTGAAACCACTGAAGTGTGCGAGAACACCACTTTTAGAGGGTGAGAACACACTCCGGAGAGCACACACACTCACAAACAGAAATGTGCACATACGCAGGCTCGCAGACGCACACACAAGCCCAAAGTTATTGTAGAGGAGTGTTAGAAAGGTTGCCATTCCCAGCACAGGCTCCCATTTCTTTTTTCATCTCAAGGCAGTGCAGAGGTACTGCAAAGCCCGCAACAAAAATGGACCAGCTGAAATCTCACGGTTCACTGAAATGTTTTTAACATGAGAACTGGGGAGTGCCTCAACTCACTTCTCCCATTTCAACATATAATACAAGCGGCACTGCAAAAGCTGCACATCTCTGCTTCCCCTTTCCTCCATACTGTGACTCCACTTGTAAAGCTGACATATTTTCCATCATGACTGCAGGCTTGGCTAACTCATTGAGCGTTTGAATGAGCCTGCCCGGAGCGCTAGGCAGGGTTTGCACTTCTATTGATATTCTATTGATTGCATTGCACCAGACATATCTCAAGCAAACCCAGCCAAAGTATTTGATAAACAACAAATACTACTTGAACACAGGTCTGAACTCCGGTAGCTAAACTCCTGAGGTTCTGCCCTGTGGACCTCACAGTTTTGTCATTAGGATGGATTAGCGGCGCTAATAATCCGTGCTAACTCTTCTTTGGCAGTCGACAAACCAGCCACAGTGATCGGACTCAACTCATGGTGTTACATAGAGAGTGAGGGAGGAGGGGGAGGATGAGAAAGAGGGAGAGGAGAAAGTGGGCGAGGAGGAGGATGAGATGCTGCAGTCCCTCAAAAAAAGGAACGGGTTAATTGCTGGTATTGTGATATCTGAGATGCCAGAGGGAGGTCCTTCGACCTCATGGCTTGGTTTTTGCTCTGACATAAACTGTCAACTGTGGGACCTTATACAGACAGGTGTGCCTTTCCAAATCATGTCCAATCAATTGAATTTACCACAGGTGGGCTCCAATCAAGTTGTAGAAACATCTCAAGGATGATCAATGGAAATGGATGCACCTGAGCTCAATTTCAAGTCTAATAGAAAAGGGTCTGAATACTTATGTAAAAAAGGTATTTCTGTTTTTTATTTTTAATACATTTGCAAACATTTCTAAAAACCTGTTTTCGCTTTGTCATTATGGGATATTGTGTGTAGATTGATGAGGATTTTAAAAAATGTAATCAATTTTAGAATAAGGTTGTAAAGTAACAAAATGTGGAAAAATACTTTCCGAATGCACTGTATGTTGACGACATTACAATATAGTAAGTACATGAGCGGTAATCAAATTTTAGATTAACTTTAGAGAGTTTAGAGGTAAGACAGCAATAATGTTTAGATGGATACAGAAGGCTAAGTTCCTGTAATAAGATTGGCAGTTTTTTTCTATTTTCTGATGTTATTTAACAACTTTTGCCAAAAGGCACAGGGACACGTTTTCTGTAGGAATAACTTTGGGGGCGCGCCCTAGGCAGAATGTCTGTCTGAACCGATGGCGTATATCGGCTTATGCTTTTCACTGTTCTCACGGCTAGCACTAGCGCTGGGCCATTCGTCTCCTTCAGGGTGACTGGATTGATTTGTTTTGTCATTGAGAAACTCGGACAGCCTAAGCAGCGCTGCAGTCAGCCTGGCCCAGACATAATCACTTTCACTGATGCTCTCAGGGGCTGAGGACCTCGGATGTGCGTGTGTGTGTGTGGGGAGGTATGTGTGTGTATGTGTGTGTGTGTGTGTGAGAGAGGAAGAGAGAGTGAATGGAGGAGGTTGTTGGCCATAATTGTATATAATTGTATTGTGGGTTTGTTTATTGGGGGGTTGTTGCAGGTGTGAATGTTAATTTCTGTTTCGGAGCAGGGTCATTTTTGAAAAGGAATAATTATTTTGCTGACACTATTTGTTGTAGTTGACATACAGGTGCAGTACTTCAACAGTATTCAACAGCTACTTCATCTACTGTTTTCACTTCTCAGGTCAGGAGGAGGACAGGGAGCAAGAGCAGCAAACAAGACAGAAGTAATCACCAACTCCTGCAAATTAGTGTTTCTCTGTTACTCACAAGCAAACTCACACACACAGACTCAAACACACACCACACAAGCACACACCTTTGCGCGCGTGCACACACACACACACACACACACACACACACCTGACTAATTTCCCATTGTGGAGAAGATATGAATTGGGTAGACTGCCCGCTGAGGTGCCTGTGTAAAATATGTCAAATGAGGGCGGGAGAGAGAAGAGAGTTCGGGAGATCCTATCATTCTACCAAGGTGAGGCTCACATGGAGTTGCGGAGAGATAGAGAGGGAATAGGGAGGTGGGGAGAGATAGGGAGGAGAGGGGGGTGCATTCTGCTTGTTTGGGAATCAGTCGAAGAAATACATTTTTAATTTGGCTGTCAAAGCTGGTGTACCAGCAACATTGGAATATACTTAATTACACAAATGCCTGGAGAGAGAGAGGGAAGAGAGAGGGAGATGAGGGATAGGAGGGTGTGAAAGAGAATGATAGCAAGTTGACATGTAGAGAGAAGGAGAGGTAGCAGAAGGGAAGACAGATGGTAATATCGGGGAAAAGAGTGAACAACACTGGAGAGGTAGACATGGTGAGATGTATACATTAAAAATAGCTAGCTAGCGGGTAGCAACACCGCAGCCACTGCTAGCTGGCCAACTATACCAGCTAGCAGTACTGTAGCAACTAAATACATTTCAACAGAACGATTTGATTAGTGTAAAGTTAGCTAGCTACATAGTTGTCTTGGTATCAAAGACAAAGGTGTAGTATAGAGAAACTATCGAGGTTAGCTAGCCAGCTACATTTTCAAACAGTCAACACCGCAGCCACTGCTAGCTAGCCAACATTACCAGCTAGCAGTACTGTATAATTTTAGTCAATGAGAATTTTGCAAGGTAAGCTTCACTTTCTGAACATTCGAGATGTGTAGTCCACTTGTGTAGCTAGCATGACTGACTTTGTGCTAGCTAGCCAACGTTTAATTACTTCTGCGTTATGAAAGGAACTAGACACGGACATGAATGATCCATTGGTAGTTTGTTGTAACCAAGTATTGGTGCTAAACCGTGTGTTATTGGATGCTAGCATGCTAGTTAGCTATGGCGTCATAGGATATGGTGCCCTGGGCAGTTTTCACAGAAGAATACTGTACCAAGTTAGCTAGCTGAATAAACTAAGTTAGTCTATTCCTGGAAACATTGAACTACTGTAGATTACAGCAATTATAATTTCTAAAGTGGAAGTTGGAAGAGTTGTATTTGAGTGTTTCAGTGAAAGGTTAGTGAGGGAGGCCTCGCTTCCCCAGATGTTTAGTTAATTTAATTCCGATCTCCTTTGCATTAGTGTAGCCTTTTCTGTAGCCTGTCAATCCTTGTTCTCTCCTCTCCGCACAGGCTATACAAACGCCTCACACCGCGTGGCTGCTGCCTCTCTAACCTGGTGGTCCCTGCACGCACGACCCACGTGGAGTTCCAGGTCTCCGGCAGCCTCTGGAACTGCCATTCTGCAGCCAACAAGGCAGAGTTCATCTCAGCTTATGTTACCCTCCAGTCCCTCGACTTCTTGGCGCTGACGGAAACATGGATTACCACAGAAAACACTGCTACTCCTACTGCTCTCTCCTCGTCTGACCATGTGTTCTCGCATACCCCGAGAGCATCTGGTCAGCGGGGCGGTGGCACAGAAATCCTCATCTCTCCCAAGTGGACATTCTCTCTTTCTCCCCTGACCCATCTGTCTATCTCCTCATTTGAATTCCATGCTGTCACAGTCACTAGCCCATTCATGCTTAACATCCTTATCATTTATCGCCCTCCAGGTTCCCTTGGAGAGTTCATCAATGAGCTTGACACCTTGATAAGTTCCTTTCCTGAGGATGGCTCACCCCTCACAGTTCTGGGTGACTTTAACCTCCCTACGTCTACCTTTGACTAATTTCTCTCTGCCTCCTTCTTTCCACTACTCTCCTCTTTTGACCTCACCCTCTCACCGTCTCCCCCTACTCACAAGGCAGGCAATACGTTTGACCTCATCTTTACTAGATGCTGTTCTTCTACTAATCTCACTGCAACTCCCCTCCAAGTCTCCGACCACTACTTTGTATCCTTTTCTCTCTCGCACTCCTCCAACACTACTCACTCTGCCCCTATTCAGATGGTAATGCGCCGTCGCGACCTTCGCTATCTATCTCCTGCTACTCTCTCCTCTTCCATCCTATCATCTCTTCCCTCTGCTCAATCCTTCTCCCTCCAATCTCCTGATTCTGCCTCCTCAACCCTCCTCTCCTCCCTTTCCGCATATTTTGACTCTCTATGTCCCCTATCCTCCCGGCCAGCTCGGTCCTCCACTCCTGCTCCATGGCTTGACAACTCATTGCGAGCTCACAGAACAGGGCTCCGGGCAGCCGAGCGGAAATGGAGGAAAACTAGACTCCCTGCCGACCTGTCATCTTTTCACTCCCTCCTCTCTACATTTTCTTCCTCTGTTTCTGCTGCTAAAGCCACTTTCTACCACTCTAAATGTCAAGCCTCTGCCTCTAACCCTAGGAAGATCTTTGCCACCTTCTCCTCCCTGCTGAATCCTCCTCCTCCCCCTCCCTCCTCCCTCTCTGTGGATGACTTCGTCAACCATTTTGAAAAGAAGGTTGACGACATCCGATCCTCATTTATTAAGTCAAATGACACCGCTGGTCCTGCTCACACTGCCCTACCCTATGCTTTGACTTCTTTCTCCCCTCTCTCTCCAGACGAAATCTTGCGACTTGTGACGGCCGGCCGCCCAACAACCTGCCCGCTTGACCCTAACGACAAAGCCTATTCCCCCTCAGGAGACTGAAAAGATTTGGCATGGGTCCTCAGATCCTCAAAAAATTCTACAGCTGCACCATCGAGAGCATCCTGACTGGTTGCATCACTGCCTGGTATGGCAACTGCTTGGCCTCCGACCGCAAGGCACTACAGAGGGTAGTGCGTACGGCCCAGTACATCACTGGGGCCAAGCTTTCTGCCATCCAGGACCTCTATACCAGGTGGTGTCAGAGGAAGGCCCTCAAAATTGTCAAAGACTCCAGCCACCCTAGTCATAGACTGTTCTCCCTGCTACCGCACGGCAAGCGGTACCGGAGTGCCAAGTCTAGGTCCAAAATACTTCTCAACAGCTTCTACCCCCAAGCTATAAGTCTCCTGAACAGCTAATCATGGCTACCCAGACTATTTGCACTGCCCCCCCACCCCATCCTTTTTACGCTGCTGCTACTCTGTTAATTATTTATGCATAGTCACTTTAACTCTACCCACATGTACATATTACTTCAACTATCTCAACTAGCCGGTGCCCCCGCACATTGACTCTGCACCGGTACCCCCCTGTATATATAGCCTCCCTACTGTTATTTTATTTTACTTCTGCTCTTTTTTTGTTAAAAATAAATGCACTGTTGGTTAAGGGCTGTAAGTAAGCATTTCACTGTAATGTCTGCACCTGTTGTATTCGGCGCATGTGACCAATACAATTTGATTTGATTTGATTTGATAACCCCGTCTCTCTTCTCCAGACCATTTCCGGAGACCTTCTCCCTTACCTCACCTCGCTCATCAACTCATCCTTGACCCCTGGCTATGTCCCTTCCGTCTTCAAGAGAGCGAGAGTTGCACCCCTTCTCAAAAAACCTACACTCGATCCCTCTGATGTCAACAACTACAGACCAGCATCCCTTCTTTCTTTTCTCTCCAAAACTCTTGAGCGTGCCGTCTTTAGCCAACTCTCTTGCTATCTCTCTCAGAATGACCTTCTTTATCCAAACCAGTCAGGTTTCAAGACTGGTCATTCAACTGAGACTGCTCTTCTCTGTGTCACGGAGGCTCTCCGCACTACTAAAGCTAACTCTCTCTCCTCTGCTCTCATCCTTCTAGACCTATCTGCTGCCTTTGATACTGTGAACCATCAGATCCTCCTCTCCACCCTCTCCGAGTTGGGCATCTCCGGCGCGGCTCACTCTTGGATTGCGTCCTACCTCACAGGTCGCTCCTACCAGGTGGCGTGGCGAGAATCTGTCTCCGCACCACGTGCTCTCACCACTGGTGTCCCCCAGGGCTCAGTTCTAGGCCCTCTCCTATTCTCTCTATACACCAATTCACTTGGCTCTGTCATATCCTCACATGGTCTCTCCTATCATTGCTACGCAGACGACACACAATTCATCTTCTCCTTTCCCCTTCTGATAACCAGGTGGCGAATCACATCTCTGCATGTCTGGCAGACATATCAGTGTGGATGACGGATCACCACCTCAAGCTGAACCTCGGCAAGACGGAGCTGCTCCTCCTCCCGGGGAAGGACTGGCCGCTCCATGATCTCGCCATCACGGTTGACAACTCTGTTGTGTCCTCCTCCCAGAGTGCAAAGAACCTTGGCGTGACCCTGGACAACACCCTGTCGTTCTCCGCTAACATCAAAGCGGTGACCCGATCCTATAGGTTCATGCTCTACAACATTCGCAGAGTACGACCCTACCTTACACAGGAAGCGCACTCCTAATCGAGGCACTTGTCATCTCCTGTCTGGATTACTGCAACTCGCTGTTGGCTGGGCTCCCTGCCTGTGCCATTAAACCCCTACAACTAATCCAGAACGCTGCAGCCCGTCTGGTGTTCAAACTTCCCAAGTTCTCTCATGTCACCCCGCTCCTCCACACACTCCACTGGCTTCCAGTTGAAGCCCGCATCTGCTACAAGACCATGGTGCTTGCCTACGGAGCTGTGAGGGGAACGGCACCTCCGTACCTTCAGGCTCTGATCAGTCCCTACACCCAAACGAGGGCATTGGGTTCATCCACCTCTGGCCTGCTGGCCCCCCTACCTCTGCGGAAGCACAGTTCCCGCTCAGCCCAGTCAAAACTGTTTGCTGCTCTGGCACCCCAATGGTGGAACAAGCTCCCTCACGACGCCAGGACAGCGGAGTCACTCACCACCTTCCGGAGACACTTGAAACCCCACCTCTTTATGGAATACCTGGGATAGGATAAAAGTAATCCTTCTACCCCCCCCCCCCCCCCCCCCCCCAAAAAAAAAAAGGCATGCAAACACACACCACACATCCACAGCGTTATCTAGGACCAATAAAACAAGGTAAACTAAGTGTATCTCTAAAAGACTCTGGTCCTCTCTGGCTCCGACTCTTCTTTTCCCTCATCCTCCTTTTCCCTCATCCTCCTTTTCCCTCATCCTCCGTTTTCCTCTTCCTCTCATTTTTTACTCATCCTCTCCATCCTTTTCACCCTCTGTTTCTCTCCCTATGTTTCTCTCCCTCTGTTTCTCTCCCTCTGTTTCTCTCCCTATGTTTCTCTCCCTATGTTTCTCTCCCTATGTTTCTCTCCCTATGTTTCTCTCCCTCTGTTTCTCTCCCTCTGTTTCTCTCCCTATGTTTCTCTCCCTATGTTTCTCCCCTCGTTTCTCTCCCTATGTTTTCTCTCCCTCTGTTTTCTCCTCCTCCCTTTTTCTCTCCCTCTGTTTCTCTCCCTCTGTTTCTCTCCCTCTGTTTCTCTCCCTATGTTTCTCTCCCTATGTTTCTCTCCCTCTGTTTCTCTCCCTATGTTTCTCTCCCTCTGTTTCTCTCCCTATGTTTCTCTCCCTCTGTTTCTCTCCTCCCTTGTTTCTCTCCCTCTGTTTCTTCTCCCTCTGTTTCTTCTCTCCCTCTGTTTTCTCTCCCTCTGTTTTTTCTCCTCCCTCTGTTTCTTCTCCCTCTGTTTTCTCTCCCTATGTTTTTTTCTCTCCCTCTGTTTCTCTCCCTCTGTTTCTCTCCCTATGTTTCTCTCCCTCTGTTTCTCTCCCTCTGTTTCTCTCCCTATGTTTCTCTCCCTCTGTTTCTCTCCCTCTGTTTCTCTCCCTCTGTTTTCTCTCGCCCCTATGTTTCTCTCCCTCTGTTTCTCTCCCTCTGTTTCTCTCCCTCGTCCCTTGTTTTCTCCTCCCTCTGTTTCTCTCCCTCTGTTTCTCTCCCTATGTTTCTCCCCTCTGTTCTCTCTGTTCTCTCCCTCTGTTTCTCTCCCTATGTTTCTCTCCCTCTGTTTTCTCTCCTCCTCATTTTTCTCCTCCCTCTGTTTCTCTCCCTGTTTCCTCTCCCTCTGTTTTCTCTCCCTCTGTTTCTCTCCCTATGTGTTTCTCCTCGTTTCTCCCTCATGTTTCTCTCCCTATGTTTCTCTCCCTCTGTTTCTCTCCCTCTGTTTCTCTCGACTTTTCTCTACCCTATGTTTTCTCCTATTCCCTCTGTTTTCTCTCCCTCTGTTTCCTCTTCTCCCTATGTTACTCGTTCTCTCACCTCTGTTTCTCTCCCTATGTTCTCTCCCTCGCCTCTTTTTCTCTCCCTCTGTTCTTCTCCTCCCTATGTTTTCCTCCCTCTGTTTCTCTCCCTATGTTTCTCTCCCTATGTTTCTCTCCCTCTGTTTCTCTCCCTATGTTTCTCTCCCTATGTTTCTCTCCCTCTGTTTCTCTCCCTATGTTTCTCTCCCTATGTTTCTCTCCCTATGTTTCTCTCCCTATGTTTCTCTCCCTCTGTTTGTGAATTGATTGTTTAATCATCCTCATCAGTGCTGTTTTTCGGCATAAGCAACTTTAGGAAGTCAGTCGGCATAAGCAACTTTAGGAAGTCAGTCAGGATCTAAACTTACTGTTAGTTAGGATAGTAGAATACACAACGTGCAATTTATACATTTGGTAGTGCATCAGCAGTTTTCCTCTTGTTATATCGGTTACTGACCGTCACTCAATTAGCCCATGCCAGCTAACATTTTATAGATTGCTAGGTAAGTTAGACTAGCCAGATATCTAAACCTTGTATTCATCATGGCCGAATTACTGACCGGGCACGCAAGGCACGTGCCCAAGGGCCCTGACCTCTAGGGGACCCCAAATGATTTTGTTAGTCACTCTCACACATATCATATGAACGTTGCATAAGTCATGGCAAAATGTGTAGAATTGCAGGATATTTGCTTTTAAACTACACATGTTTCTCTCAACCCCATGGCAAATGTGTAGAATTGCAGGAAATTAGCTTTAAAAAGGCAACGTTTTCTCTCCGCCCCATGGCACAATGAGTAAAATCGCATTACATTTGTTTTAAAAGGTTCTCTACGCTGCCAAGAGGGGGGACAATAAAATGTTTTGCCCGTGAGGTGGGGGGGCCCCTCAACCAAATCTCGCTTAGGGCCCCCAAAAAGCTAGAAACGGCCCTGATCCTCATCTTCAGGAGACAGACTAGAAATGACTTGGGAGGATGAGTCCAAGAAGGAATTTTTCTGATAGCAACCAAAATAATGAAAATGTAATTGTAAGAGCATAATTAAGTTAGAGATGTGATTACTATATGATTCATTAAAACTGATGAAAAAGTAATAACTTATTCAAATCAGAGAACCTTTATGAGGAAATGAATTGGTGCCCTATTCCCAGTCCTTCCTATATAAGTCCTTAGGCATACCAGCGTATAATGTTTTAAATGGAGTGGTGTTTTTCTCATCTTGTTAAGTTGTGGCTTGGAGCCTTATTGGTGAGAAAAACTATTTCATACCAACTATGGTGACTTATCATTTTACTTCCTCTTAGAGTTAGGAGAATAACTCAGCATCTCTGAGAGAATATCCAGAATATTCATTGGGAACTTTTGATGCATCTACAAGCCTGTCTGACTCCGCCTACTCTCTCACACACACTGGCTCAGACGCAGAGAAATGACATCTGTGTAGACTGTTTGTGTACGCGAGCAAGTATGAGTGTGTGTGTGTGTGTGTGTGTGTGTGTGTGTGTGTGCGCGCATCACAGGCAGTCGGTGGTACCTTAATTGGGGCGGAAGGACTCATAGTAATGGCTGGAATGGAATAAATGGAATGGTATGGTGTTTGATACCATTCCATTCACTCCATCCCAGCCATTATTAAGAGCCGTCCTCCCCTCAGCAGCCTCCTGTAGCGTACGTGTGTGTGTGGGTGCATGCATGCGTTTGTGTGTGTTTCCCTCCTCGATCCCAGTACTGAACCAGAGAGACACTCACGTCTTTAAGGCAGCCCATGAAGTTGTTGCTGACGGGTGATCCGGGCAGGTCTGCTGTATTGGGACTCCCCCCTATGTAGAAGAAGTCATCTGAGCCCAACATGGTGTAGTCCTCCTGGGTATAACCAGTAGTGGTCAAAATACCATCCACTGATATGGTCACCTGGTACAGGCACGGCCCAACAGAGACAGGTAGGTAGAGAGGGATAGATAGATGGAGCGAGACAAAAAAAAAGAGAGAAAGAATAGAGGAGTGGAGGAGGGGAAAGGAATGGAAGAAGTTGGATTAAACACTGGGGGTAGGCGGGGCTGTCCCCTACGGTGTGGCGTTACTTGTTATCGATTGGTCGCGTGGGCGCAGCTCAGAGAGGAGTCGCTCGTGAGTGCAGTTGCTAGGGTTGACCACTGGGACGATGCTGTTTTCACTCTCTAGTAAAGTCTCAAGGGTACGACTAGTTTGTGCAAGTATGAATTGCATATTATTTGACCACTTAACAAACTAGACAACTGACAATATGACCTTGCAGAGTCAACCAACTGACAAACCTCAATGCTTGACTATTCGGTCTGCGTTCCAGTCGAACATAACCTCAATCAAGAGAATCGGGGGATAAAAATAACTTTATTTTAATATTTAAATGCCAAAAGTCATGTATTTTGTGTGAGGTTACGGGAGCGAGCAACGTCTTTGATCACTGACGAAGCGGAAACTGCCAGACGGAATCAAATGTACACCGCCAGGAGTCTGATGGAGGGGAGATAGCTCCAACTGAGAAAAAAGACATTGTTTTCCTTTCATGGAATGTAAAAGGCATCAACCGTCTGTTTTAAAGCTCCCTGAGGCCCTCTGGGGGAAGATTGTCAGCTTTTGCCAGAAAGGCGCCAGGCGCAAAGACATATTCATTCCCTCTTTCTACAGAATGTTAAGTCCTGGGTCTATTCATTAGTATTACAGAGACACCAGAGTATCCTTCAGTGCAGAGTCACTGAGTTGACCTTAATTTGATTATAGCAGAGTTGAGATGAGAGGGGGACTCTTTATCATGTAACACCAGGCCTCTGACTTAGGGTGGAGAAGAAAATCAGATATGAAGTCTGTCCAATTGAAGTTCCTATGCAGTGCGAATAGCTAAAAATACCCAATTTGCCTTGTAATGGACTTATACACTCAGTATACTACCATATCCGTTCAAAGACACTTAAATATTTTGTCTTGCCCATTCACCCTCTGAATGACACACATACACAATCCATGTCTCAATTGTCTCAAGGCTTAGAAATCCTTCTTTAACCGGTCTCCTCCCCTTCATCTACACTGATTGAAGTGAATTTAACAAGTGACATCATTAAGGGATCATAGTTTTCACATGGGTTCACCTGGTCAGTCTATGTCATGGACAGAGCAGGTGTTCTTAATGTTTTGTATACTCAGTGTATATTAGATGTGTTGTTTATAATTGAATGTACAACCATGACGCGTTTTAATCTAATCATGAAGGCGGGGAATAATGTTGAAGATCAAAGTCTTCTCTGATAATATCTGTTTTGTTGACTGAGGAACATTGTGAATGTGTTTGCCGTGGGTTGTGTGGAAACAGAGCAGTGTGTTGCCAAATTACTTGATTTGGTTTGGTTTTTACAGTCTGATACCAATTGATAGTGTAATTATACTAATAGTCCTGGCTAGAGTCCCTACTATGCTCTCCAATCTTTAATATGACATCTGTTGGTACCACACACAAACCAACAGCCATGCTCTGGGTTACTGTGAATAACATTACATTCCACAGTACAAATAGTTAATATTCGGTATATGGGTGGGACTTACTATTCTCCAATCCAGTGATATTTGGCTGTTTGGAGGGGGTAGAAAACAGGTGATTCTTTTATTCTGTATTTTCTCTTAATACAGTACCTGTATGTTGATTTTGATGAGCTATTGAAATGTGTTTTGTTGACACTTATAAATGTCCTCCATTTTCGATCAACTCACAGTACATTGTGTTCTTTAGAACATTTTTGGTCAAAAGATTTCTTTAGCAATGATTCATTCACCTGTCAAATACTTTAAACAGCTTCATATAGATAAATCAACCTTGACAACTGACGATTGACTGCTTTATAATAAAATGTTTCCCTAATCACAGTCAATAACAGACAAGTTGAGTACCAAACTTGGAATACCAACTAAGCTAAAACTCTATGACCATTCACCTTTTCTAATTTCAGCAACACCTCCAGCAACACCTCACACAATACCTATACAAATATGCCTGAGTTAAAAGTGAAAACAGTGCCGTAACCATGGTACCTTGTTCTTTTGAGGTCCTGAAAAGAACCCTGACAACAACTGCACTCCAAAGGTCTCGTCCCCAGCTAAGCGCTCTGCTATTCCTTTTTTTGTGTGGTTGTTTTCGTTTTTTGAAGTACTTCCCTCAAAACAGGGCAACCCATTTTTATGTCTGCTGTCACTACTTGAGGAAAATATATAGAGGCCAGTTTTGGTTGTGCTTATAGGAGATGTGGAAGAGGTGGTGGTGGAGGCAGAGGTGGGAACATCCCTGGTCATCCTGGGGGGCAGGGCTGTCAATATGTTTGCCTGAGGGCCACTTCTCTGGAGGGGGAGGGGTCCTGTGGGGGGGAAGAGACTGAGGGTAGAGGAAGGTCAACGTTACTGCATCTACCGGCTATAAGTCTTTAGAGAAGCAGCCACGACTGGCCCAAGTGATTCCAAGTACAAGTGATCGCAACACACGCTAATCAAAACCGGGGATCCATTGCATTCCAAGTTCTCGATCCACTCACTCTCATAACACAACCTCTTCTTGGCTGCTAGAGTCCATAAAATTGGGGGCAATCCACGGAACTCTGTTTGAACCCCTTTCTATGACAGAATAAGATACCAACTGCAGCAGTTAAGTCACAGTTGGCAGCGGGCCCTGTGTGTTTAGCTGTGTGGTGGTTGGTGGTTGGTGATACAGCGCTACGCTAGCCTGGCACTGGGTCCAGTATTTAACATCATTAGCGGGCCATTAATGGAGGGAGTGTCAGCCAGCTGCCAGCCACCTGTGAGGATTCCAACTGAAAGAGGGAAAATGGGAGATTAGCACTGGTTTTGGGCCCCATCCCTCTCTCTCTCTCTCTCTCTCTCTCTCTCCCTACCTCCCTTCGTTCTGCCTGCCCTTCTATATTCCGAGCCTCTCAGATCACCCATTGACACACATTGATACAAGAAATAGTAACAAGAAGTAATTTCACTGTAGTCTTCATTCAACTACCTTTTCAAAAATACTAAGTGCCCTCCTGGCAATCTACTTACATTTACTATGCTGCTAATTGTTCAAATTTGGTTATCCCCATTTGTCCAGGTGGCAAGATAATGAGTTGAATCAGGTGATCTGGCTTTTGCAAAAGTCTGAAGAATATGAATCTTTCCATGGACTTGAGCAAGATAATAAAATGTCCAATGACCAAAACGAACAACATGGCTAATAATCAAGGGAGTGTCTAGGGCGTATTGGGAGTGCTACCGTACTCTAGTGAGTTAGGTATGGCCTCAGTCTTCAGCCCCACTGAATAGTGTTGTCTGGCATGATGTTGCTGGTGGTTGCATCATCTTCCACCGGCCGTCATCATTCACTGGCCTGAGACTAAATGGTGATGATAACATCACAGCTCGCCGCTGGTTCAAAGTCCTTAGTTGCCTCAGATGCCCCTGAACCAGACAGTAGGATGGGGAAGCTTGAGAAACAACAGCCCCACAATGTCTGCCTAAACTGTATAACACATTTGACTTCAAGCTTTTTTGTATTATTTCATTATTTGATAAATAATCCAACTTTAAAATACGACTAGAGAGAATATGCCTGGATATTGCTCTTGTTTTTTGTTTTGTTTTTGTATTTCCAACACTCAAACACTTGGAAGGATTGTGTTGTACATAGGTAGCATTTTTTATGGAATCCAACAGCTCTTTCCTACACAGTGCAGTCAGCCCCTTTCTTTACCTGACCTAAAAAGAGATGGAACAGTCAACACTGTCACCATCACAAGCTGGACTCACCACCTGTGCAACCTCTCTCTTTCTCTCTCTCTCTCTCTCTCTCTCTCTCTCTCTCTCTCTCTCTCTCTGACAGGCAAACACACACATGCCGCACATGAAAACACACACACAATTTCAATCTTTGAAAGGGTAGACTGTGAGCTGACTACCCATAATGAAAGTCATAATAGGAGTCTTTGTTGTACTTTATGTAAAACCTTGTTAGGATAAAATCATATTGACGTTTTAAACAAGAATGAAACAAGCCCATTAGACGAATGGCGCGCCAATCAAAGTCAGCTCAACTTCTCAAAGTGCTGCCAAACATCCAATTAGGGTGGCTAACACTCCACTTTACCTTGAACAAGGCCCAAGGCTTTTGTGCTGACACCAGCATTACATGGTAAAGCCTGTTTATACTGTATATCACAGGTGGACTGAATCATGTCTTAATGGCTTATGGGCTACAAGCCCTGATATTGGAGGCTTAGGGGCACGCTTTAGAGGTAACACCTGGCACGGCACCAGACAGGATGTCAGGATGTGTCAAGGCAACAGTGACTACAAGGTAATACCACCAATGTTTCATTGAGAAGAAAGCAATGGGCTAAGGACGAGAGAGAAAAAGGTTTCTGAAGGGTTTTATTGGCTCTTTCTCTACCGCTTTCCTCTCTGTCAACATTAAAGGATTGGATCCAGATTATAGCCAATGACAATCCATTATACTGTAGGTATGTCAGAGAACCAAACTTTTTTAAAGGTATATTCTATAATCCGTGAATACATACTGTATGATCAGCTTTCCTAATGCTGGAATTGAGAAGGAAAGCATCCATTGAGGACAGTGCAGAATCAGCTAAGCCATTTTCACAGAGCTGCACCATAAGCTAGAAGCCCTTGCTCTTTTACCAATGATTTCTGAAAATGCAGACAATGCACTTTGTGTACTCTTAAAACGGGTGGAATGGAGTGGGTCGCTATAGTGTAATTGAGTAAGAACAGATACTCTGATGCTCTCAACCCAGAGGTAATGCATTTAGATTAAGGCGTACTTGCTTTTA